CCTCCAAAATGTAACTACACATCATGTTGACGAGGACCGTAAGCTCTGTGATTGGTTGGCTGGTAGCCTCGCAATGCCTCCGAGCCGGACGGAAGTACCCACGCTTTGAAGTAACATTTACTGCCGGCCAAAACGGCAGCTGTAACACAGTGAATCAATATATTTGACCGTCGCAATCCGAGCGAAATGACTCGTTTCGCTATCAGAATGTGATCCTTTCAGTCAGTAACATTTGAAAATGCTACCCGGCCATACGTATACAATTTTACCCCATTTACGTTAGCGGAGTGCTAAAATTAAGTTAACCTACTGGCCGGCAAGAGTCAAAGCAGTGGACGCTGTAGTGCTCCTGCTGACTAGCGTTTGGGGGCGGAATTGCAGAATGACGGACACACCTATGCACAAGTATAAATGCATGGCTACGTGCATAGCCTACGGCATAGGTACGCACATAGACCCTACGCAGGAGTATAAATGGGCCTTTAGTCATGGAGCTCCACAAGGATCTGTGCTTGGTCCAATCCTGTTCACTTTACATATGCTTCCTTTAGGCAATATTATCAGGAAACGTAAACTTTCACTTTTATGCAGATGATACTCAATTATATCTATTGATCAGGCCAGATGAAACCAATCAGTTTGCTAAACTTCAAGCACGCCCTAAGGATGTTAAAACCTGGATGACCTGTAATTTTCGATTGTTAAACTCAGATAAAACTGAAGTTATTTTCTGGGGCCCAAGTAAAGTTGTTGTTCTGGATGGCATCGCCCTGGCCTCCAGCACAACTCTGAGAAATCTTGGAGTTATCTTTGATCAGGACATGTCGTTTAACTCTCAAATTAAGCAAATTTCAAGGACCGCCTTTTTTCACCTACATAATATTGCAAAAATCAGGAACATCCTGTCTAAAAATGATGCAGAAAAAATAGTCCATGCATTTGTTACTTCTAGGCTGGATTGCTGCAATTCCCTATTATCAGGCTGCTTGAAAAAGTCCATTAATTTAAAATCCTTCCTCTTACCTACAGAGCCCCTAATTTTCAGGCACAATCATATCTTAAAGAGCTCATCGTACCTTACTACCCCACCAGAGCACTGCGCTCCCAGAATGCAGGGTTACTTGTGGTTCCTAGAGTCTCCAAAAGTCGACTAGGAGCCAGAGCGTTCAGCTATCAAGCTCCTCTCCTGTGGAACCAGGTTCCAGTTTGGGTTCAGGAGGCAGACACCATCTCCACATTTAAGAGTAGGCTTAAGACTTTCCTCTTTGATAAAGCTTATAGTTAGGGCTGGCTCAGGTGAGTCCTGAACCATCCCTTAGTTATGCTGCTATAGGCCTAGACTGCCGGGGGATTTCCCATGATGCACTGAGCTCCTCTCTCCTCTTCATCTCTTTCTTACATGTTTCTAACTCTACTACTTCCCTCTCCTGTAGTTTGCTGCTCTCTCGTCCCTCTCCTCTTTCCGTCTGTTGCTCTCTGCAGGTGTTTCTGGCTCTGGAGCTGTGGGGTCTAGATCTGTGGTTGCGAGCTTCCTGCTGCCGCCACTGCTACAATTATTATTAATCCTACTATTATTATTAATTTTACTAGAATTATCAATAACATTGTTTATTTTCTGTCTGCACCACAACCACTTTTACCTTTTATGCAGTTCTATGTGGATATTGTGTTGCATCACCCCCTCGTCCTCTTTCGCTATCCAACGCCGGCCACCAAACCTGAGTCACAGTTCCGGCCGAGGTCTTTCTACCTCCTAAATGGGAGTCTTTCCTTGCCTCTGTCACCAAGTGTTCATAATAATAGATGGTACAATCTAGACCTGCTATATATAAAAAGTGAATGAGGTAACTTTTGTAATGAATTGGCGCTATATAAATTTAATTTGAAGTACTGCAAGTGTTTTGAAGTTTGGTGGCGGACCTCCCCTTTGGTTTAACGCTACTCATTGTACCTTTAATGGGCTAAGACATAGAAAACAGCTGGCATGGTCCTTTGGGTTCAAGTAGGGACAATGTTTGCTTGATCCATAGAGGAACATCTGGCAATACTTGAGGTGTGCCACAGATCACTGATGTATTTATTGAACTCCCATTTTGTTTGAAACCATTTCAAAACATGTGAACACTTGTTTATTAAACTAAATTTGTGTCTCTTTAGTGTCCCTGCCTTTCCCACAAAACCTAATGGAGGTGCAGCTGCCGATTGTTGGGAACAGAGAGTGTACCTGTACCTACGGATTGAGTTTGATCACAAACAACAAGA